CTTGACTCTCGAACTTAGGCTCTTTCCTTTTTCCAGACTCTAAAAATAAGCATCAGGACCCTTTCTTCCATCTATTCTGTGAAAGTTTATAAAGCAAATTGATTTCCCATTCAACCATTCATATAAGCATTCTGGTTTAGGACATTATTTATAATACTTATGTTATAACTGAACTCTTCCCTCTTCCTCCCTGTGATTCTGTTCTTTCTATCTTATCCCTTTCTGCCTTTTAGAATTTATCCTTGAAAAAAATTTCCTTTTGTTCTGAGGAGTAAGTACTTCCTTGGGGTTACCTGATAGGCCTGTTATTTGACTAAAGGTTACGGATAAGTTTATTACAAGCTGAACTGTATATAATATTAGTTAATGTATTAGAATGTGAAGATGATGAATGTAACATTCATTCATTAACTAAAAATTGGAATGAGCTTTATATCTTTTGCAATAATAAATAATGTAATCACTTATACCTGGTATGGAGAAAAAGATAATTACAGTATCAATATTTATAAAAGCATAAAAATTGTTAAAGTAAAATATACCAAAAAGTATAATAAAAACTATGTAACTTAAAATTAGGTAACACTTACATACCATATGTTATTGTTGTTATGTGCTGTCAAATCTCCTGCAATGCATAGCAACCATATGTACAAACATCCCTGAAGCCTGCCCTGTCCTGAGTCAGTCTCACTGACTCTGACACACCTACCCCCATTGTCCCAGTTACTGTATCAATCTATCTCATCCAGGGTCTTCCTCTCCTGTGTTGTCCCTCCACCCTTCTGAGCATGATATTCTTCTCCAAGGACCTGTCCCTCTGGCCACATGCCCAAAGTATGGGCCTTAAAATCAGAAACAGAGCCTCAAAATCCTAGCATCCAATGAGAAACTTGGTTTCACCCTCTCCAAGACAGACTTGTTTTCTTGGCGGTCCATGGTTTGTTCAAGACTCTTTTGCAGCACCACAACTCAAAGGCATCAATTCTTCTGTCATCCTTAGTCATTAATGGTCCAGTTCCCTTATGCAAAGCAAGTAATTGTGAAGACCAGTACATATTATCAAATATGTAAACAAACTTTCACAATCTTGCATTTAGGTCGGGAAATTATATATGTATTTTTTTTCTAGCTTAAAAAGTCCTTAATATTGTTTTATTGCTATTGTCGTTATGTGTCATCAAGTCGCTTGTGACTCATAGCAATCCTGTTTACAACAGCTCTGAACCCTGCTCTATTCTCAGCCAACCTTATTGTTTCTGACACATCGACTTTCATTAGCCCTGTCACTGAGTCAGTTCACCTCATTTAAGGTCTTCCTCTCTTGCTGTTCCTCCACCCTCCTAAGCAGGATGTCCCTCTCCAAGGGCTGGTGTCTCCTTGCAACATGACTAAAGTATGTCACACGGAGCTTCAGAATCCTTGCCTCCAAGGAGGAGCCTGGTTTCACCCTCTCCAGGTTGATTGTAGATTATAAAATTTGTTGTTGTTGTTATGTGCCGTCGAGTCGTTTGCGACTCATACGACCCTATGCACAACAGCCCTAAACCCTGCTCTATCCTGCGCCAACTGCACTGCCTCTGACACACCCATCCCGATTACCCCAGTCAC